ATCACACGAAGATGACACAACCAAAATCGGTGATTAATGACTGATGAGTTCTTATACACATTTGCTCTGAACGCTTGAACCAATCCGCGCTCGCCACCAGCACGTTCTCCACCTGGGTCAGACAGTGCCATCGATGATGTCGATGATTCACGAGCCGATGATTGTCACGCTTGGTCTATGTCATGCGTCAGGTGGAGATTACTTAATAGGACCTCTCATGTCCGACGTGCATGGCGTCCTGTCATGGCCGATCTGCGTCAGTGATGAGGTGAATATGATTTCATGTGAACTGTCGTCGTGATGACGTCTGTCACTCGGAGTTACAATGAGGTTGCGTCATCCATCATCTGCGCCCCAACCTTTGAGCGTTTATTGCGGCAATCGTAGGTCCATCACCGTCCATGGTAATATAACTTTTACGAGGTTCAGCACGCCATACTACATCGGCAAGAAGCGAAGTAAGCAAGCTGTGCTTTACTTCATACTGTGCCTCAACGGATACGTTCGTTTTGGCTACAACTACAGTGAAAATTTTAATTGACCGCTACTACATTAATTATGCAAGGCATAATCGCACTGATCTCTTGCTTCTAGGGGCTTATGCGATCATTTATTATCATGACACTGTTATGTTGCATTGTTTTCTGTTATAGGTATGCTGTCGTTTCTCAATACCAAATACAATAACAGTTTTTTCTGTTGTTATTGTTTACAAACCAATAATAATTTTTAATTCTACCTGTTATCCAGGAGGTCTATCTTCAAGTAATAAAGACTGAAATGGCATAAGATATCGCATTTCAGATCGAGACTGTTAGCATTATTGTAAATTCGAAAATTATTGGTTAAGAAATGAATGAAGATAATTGCATCGGACCGTGCAAGCCTTGCTAATAGTTACCATGCCACAAATAGGTCATAACAGCGGCTGGTGGGAAACGAGTTAGTGGGAAGAGTGCTCATTGGAACGCAGATCGCGAATTGGCCCTAGCGATCGTAGAAGCGGTGCGAAATGGTCTGAAAGAGTCAGTCCGTCGTTGGAAGGAATTTTAGCCATTGACTTGTGTCGTGTCCCCTGTTTGTATTCATGATGAAAAATGGATCTGTATGATATGACAACGGTGCATCTCATCCATGAATGCAGACGAATCTTCAAGCGGCTGAGGGGATCGACCCTCACAACAACAAACCGTTGGTTGGGTTGCTACATAATGTAAGAAGAGCAATCTTTTCTCTAAGATGGTTTGCCTGACAGAACGGAAAATTTGGGTACTCTTCGTTATTTCGGTCATTTATTAAACCAATCGTACATTCATTCATTCATTCTTTCGTTTGTTCGTTCATTCATTCATTCATCAATTCATTACTTAATTAATTAATTAAATAATTAATTCACCAAATAATTAATTCATTGAATTGGTCTTAAAGCTCTTATCGACATTGCGCTCGGTTAATAATTCTGCTTTCTTTTTCGATTTACGGTTGAGTCATAAAATGATACTAAAAGTTTAATTTTCGAAGCGGCTGCAACATCTTCAGGCAAAATGATTATGCTCTTTCT